TGAGCTATTTGAGGAAGTAGCTGGTAAACTTCAACTTTGTGTTTGAACATGCAAAGCTGGTTGTGTCCTCAGAAACGCACGACAGTGAAGAGCCAAGAAGGACAAACCTAAAATCAAACGGAAGACTTTTTCTCCGAGAGAAGCCAGTGGTTGCAGTTTTGGCCGTTTTCTGCCTTCGCCGTGGACGGGAGCAGCATTGACCGTAGGGAGAAGCCTGGCCGTTGGCCGGGTCAGTCAGGACACTCCATCCCTCGAGCGTTGGTATCTTGCTCTTTGGGCCGACTGAGTCACAGCTTGGTCTAGAGAACGTGTTGTGATCAGTGCAAGCACCCAGAGGACACATCTCTTCCTGCAAGTGGAGTGGCTTTTGCTGCTGATTGCAAACGGAGATCAACCAGAAGCAGTTGTGTAACCTGGCACTGCTGTTGGGGCTGTTGTCCTTTTATCATTGCAACTGTTTGGGGTAAACAGTGTCTCCGAGCTGCTGCTTTGGCAGGAAGAAGACTGCAGTCGCTTTCATGTTTTCTATAAATAGGAGATTGCTGATCTCTGCAGTGGGAGCAGAATTAAAGTGTGTTTCACCCTGGCTGGTGGCCTGACCCACCTTGATTAACACCTGATAATCTATTTTAAATGGGAACCACTTTCATGTTAATATGAAAGAGCCCAAGTGCAGCAAACACCTGGAAACAGCGCAGTGACTTAGAATAACTGGATGTAGAACTTGGATGAAAAGGCTTTTATTTGGAAAAACAACCTCCAGCAGCTTTTTTGCTGAACAATGTCAGTCACGGTGTTAAAGATGCTGAACTTCAAGTTTTCTAGAAGGAGATGGGAAATCTGGTTTATGTGCTTAGGGAGGGGACTGTTGCGTGGAGTTCAGCTCCAAGACCCCATGCAGGAGCTGGATGTACAGCTACTCCCACAAAAGGAACAATTTCTTGTACTCCTAGTAGACACCAAGGTGGTTTTAGTAAGTCACAAGGCTCTAATCTCCCTTTATGTGAGGTTAAACCGCTGCGTGGTGTGTTCCTTCGGTGAACCGCAGTGGGCTTGTCTGCACCTCTGACCACTTTCTTTGCCTTTTGGGTTGGTGATGGTGTGACGTTTCTCGCTGCTCATGCCAGGCGCTTGCTAGCTGAAGGTCTTCCTTAGATCTCTTTGTGAACTTTAGATCTGAAACGACCCAACCTGACTCCCACTTTAGGGTTTCCACAAAAGCTTCATTTGTTGCAGATCAAATCTCCTTTTGCTCGGCTCCCTTACTTGTGGCTGCAAAATATCTTGGTGGCGATGACAAGCCTTCCCCTGGGGGAAGCATTTGGGAAAGCATTCCGGGCATTTTAAACCGATAGTCCGGCCTTCGGAAACATTTGGAAACAAGAAGCCAGTTCCAAATTTGTCTATGAGAGATGCTAGCCTGAGAATCTCCCACTTTTTTTGGTCTCTGAAACAATCCAGTAAGTTTCTACAGCTTCTATTCTGCAAACAGCCTTGTAAATGCTCAATTATTGAGGAATAATTGGCAGACTTGATTAGTCAGCGCACAGTTGATGCTTGGAAATGGTTTAAGGGTGTCGAGCTCTACCAGACGTCCTCATTTCCCCATTTCCTATCGGTGCAGTTTGTAAAAAATGGAGATTGCCTTTCCAGGTCCTTGAAATTCCAGTTCGGTGTGGCCATGCTGGTAAATCTTTCAAGCACTCCTTTCTAAACCTCGTGAAGCGGGCTTTCCGACTTTAAAGTAAGAACTTTAAAACCAATTTCCATCGTCCTCATTTCCTCATTTCCTATCGGTGCAGTTTGTAAAAAATGGAGATTGCCTTTCCAGGTCCTTGAAATTCCAGTTCGGTGTGGCCATGCTGGTAAATCTTTCAAGCACTCCTTTCTAAACCTCGTGAAGCGGGCTTTCCGACTTTAAGAACTTTAAAACCTATTTCCATCCTTGCTTTTGAAGCAGGATTAAGTGACCATTTTCTAACGGTATAAACTTGGCGTGTGAACTTCTGTGACTTTTAACTCCTTAAAATACTTCGCTTGGTGAGCCCTTGCACTGAGATATGTTTCCTTAAAATAGATTTAATTGCACTGAAATGGAATTTCCCAGGAAGCCCGAGCCCTTCAAAGCTTTCTTAGAAAAGACTCTGTTCTCTGTAAAGAAAACCTTATCAGTTTTATTTTTCTGTAACTAACTTGAAGCTCTTCTTACTGTTAATTTTATGTGCCAGTTGTCTTCTGGATTAAAAAGAGGTGGTGAGCTTTCTCGCTTATGATATTTAGAATTCGTGTAGGCTCTGTGAGCCAAGAGACTGATGTTTCCCATCAAGTGGCCATCACAGTGTTAACACCTCATGGCTCAGAAAAGCTCAAGTGATGCACTTAGCCAGAGCTAAGCCATGATTCTGGGATTTTGACCCTTTATAGTTGTTTGAACAAAGCAGCATAAGGGCTAGTTATCATAAAATAAGTGTTAAAGCACCCTAAAATGAGGTGTCGGTTTTTCTTAGTTATTACTTTCTTAAAAGCCTTGGATGTCCAATGTCAAATAGCATGTAGCAATATTGAAATTATATATTTTTGTCCTTTTTTAAAGGAGATTGTTATTACTTGGGACAACTTTGAATCTTTCCAGGGTAGATTTGAACTGCAGCACTTAGGAAATACAAATTTAGCTGGGGCTTTCACAGAATTTCTGTGCAGCACATCAAGGGCACCTGCATGAAACTGGGATTGAACTTTAACATCAAATCACTTCCAACCCCGCCCTGTTGTTTCAAGATACATGCTGGTAGGGGATCTACCGAGGCACCGAGGCTGGGCTCAGAGTGATTTACAGATCTTCGAGGGAAAACGCGTTGTGAAAAAACCAGCGGCGTCCGAAAGAAGAGAGAAGGTCGCTGTGCTAATCCCACTGTTTGAGAGCAAGACCGTGAAACGCTGTTTGGGCAGAATCCTCTGCGTGTCTCCTCCCTTCCTGGTGCAGTATAGATACCGTCCGTGACCCCGGGTTCAATCTGGCTGCGATGCCCGCCTGCGTCTCGCTGGGTCTGGGAGGCCGGTGAGTATTTGTTTACGTGGAAAGGGTCGGCCGTTTCCAAACAGCAGGGCCCATGACCACGTCAAGATCTTGAGCTTCCTGATCCGCTGAGGAAACATGCTGTTCCCGCCGTCCCTTTGATGGAGTCACCAAACACGTGTCCGTCCCCCCCGCCTCGCTTGCAGATGTGCCATTGACAGCCTTGGTAGCTTTGGCAGGAGGGACGGATGGACACGGGGTGGGTCTGAATTTCCAGCTTCTGGCAGAGCTCTGGTTTCACAGATCATCTGGCGGCTCGGCCGGCTCTGGCCCAGCACAAAATAGCTTGTTTGTGCTGGGCTTGGGTGTGCTTGCCTGCGAGCTCATCCGGCTGTTTGTGCTTCTTCAAGCACAATTTAGACGGAGGTTCAGGCTGGATATTGGGAAGAATTTCTTTACTGAGAGGGTTGTCAGGCACTGGAACAGGCTGCCCAGGGAGGGGGTTGAGTCGCCATCCCTGGAGGGGTTTAAGAGAAGGATAGGTGTTGCCATGAGGGACATGGGTTAGTGGTGTTTGGAGGGCTGGGAAAAGGTTGGGCTTAATGATCTTGAAGGTCTCTTCCAGCCGAAACTGTTCTATGATTGATTCTGTGATTCATCTCACCTCGTCTTTGACGACACTTAGAGCTTCCTCTGGCTTTTGCTACAAGAGCTTTGTCACTGACCTCTGCATCTCTTACTGGTGTGCTTGTTTGACTTTCTGCTCACCCTTACCTTTACTGAAGTCGCTGCTCGCCCGAAGCGACGTTCTGCAGGACGCATATTCCCCGTAGGCGGGCTGACGGTGAGCTTGGCATGTGCTTTATCATCAAGTACATGTACCCACAAGTGTATTTATAGACGAGAGGAGGCTGAATTCACTCAGGGGAAACTTCTTCCCTCATACACGAAGAATGGATTCTCAGTTTGCAGCAGGTTTCCGGCATTAGGCAGTGGTATTTAACAGTCACGGTGGATTGTTCATTCAAGGAAGCTTGACCGCGGATGATTTTCCTATTTTATGATTTGATGAGAGTCTTCACAGGTACACTTTTGCATCAGATATGTGGCAGATGTTTGGTGTTGCTAAGGAAAGCTGGTGTTTCATCTGTGGTGTAGTGGCCTTTGATGTCGAGGAGGGTAGTTTTTCCATGCTGAGATCTATCAGAATCGTTGCAGCAGGGTGTTTTTTATTGCTGACGATTTTTTGGGGAACTCCCTCCTCTTGGTCCCTCCCTCTGGTCTTTTAAGGATTTCTTGCACTGAGATGTTAGTACTTGCTTTTTATTTTTTGACAAGTTTCTTGGAAGTTCCAGCATTGACTTGCTGAAAATGAAAGGAGAGCATCTCATTTTCTGCTTCAAAGCTGCCTTTGGGATTGCTTTGTTTTCAGGGTGTTCTGTGAGCAATCAAAGGCGTCTGAGTGTACAACAGACCCATCTCAATCTGATTTGCTTTCAAGCGTAGCCATATTTGTACATTGTGATGCCTGTTTTATGTCTCCGTTTCATTCTTTTTGAAGTCTGTGACCTTTTCTTTAGGATCCTAATAAGCAATTTTCCCTATCGGATAGCTCAGTGGGAGTAGATAATTACTACACACAATGATGATTTGATCTAAACGGGCGTACAATCCCAGCTGGGATGAGTATGTCTCCCTTTTTTTTTCTTTCTGATCTAGGTGTAAGCATCTGTAACTTTGCCATGTTTGGGTGTTCCTTCTGGTGTGTTTGTGCTTGTAAAATGCAGTTGATTCCCAAACTGCAATGAAATTGCATCCATTTTTCTGTTTTCTCTTCAAAGCAGGAATAAGATTCTTGGACCAACGTGGCAGCTCGCAAGAATGCACTAACTAGCATCTCATTTTTGCTCAAACGGTAGCTATCGAGATCCTGGGTAGCAAACCCTTTGTGCCAGAACTGACATTATTCTCTGTGTCGTTGCAGAATACGGCGTCTGTGAAAACTTGCGGAAGCTGGAGATCACAGGAGTGTCCTGCCGAGACGTTTATGCCAAACGTAAGTGCTAAAGCTGATATGGATCTTGCTCAGTACCAATTTTGAAAGTATATATGTGCTGAATATTTGTTAAACTTTGATGGCTTAAGTTATTCAGGCTTACTTGCTAATGGCAGAGGTTTCATCTGAGAAGCTGACATGTTTGGAGTTTTATTTAATTCTAAGCAGATGCCAAGAATTGGGATGTCTATGCCCCCCCCCAATCCTTTAGTGGGAAAAGAACACGTAATTTAACTTTATAATGGTTTTCATCCTTTCCTGTTTTGCCATTTTTAGATCTTTCTGGGGAATTAACATATTTTTTCGTAGCCCTCATGTAACTGAGTCTTGATCTCGATGAAAGGACGCTGTTACACGTGGTTGGTGGGGAAAATGCTGCAGATAAAAGGGTCGAGTGTTCTGCTGGGCTGTTCCTGGAGGTGGAGAGCCCCATAGCTAAGGGCTGAATGGATGTGTGGAGGCTTGGATGTGTGGAGAGGCTGTCTCATTTGTCACCAGATCTTGCCCTTTGCAGTCAGAAGCTGAGCTGGTTGCTCGATCAGCCTCACGAATGCCCCAAGAGCTCCAGCGCTGGCACTGCCAGGCTGCATTTTCTTGGTTCCCCACCACAACTTTTGTAAGGGAATCGCATGTGGTCCTTAGGATGAAACACAGGATTTAACCTGCAGAACTCTGGCTCTTTGAAGGAGGTTCTGCTTTACAAAACAAAAGCAGAGAGGTCAATCATGAGAGGTTTTTGATGGCTTTGCAGACCCCAAACCTGACTCAGTTTCTGTTGGTACCATATTTGCTGTGATACCTGCTTGAAGCAGTGATGACCTCGAGCATTGATTTTAATGCTAGAACAGGTAGAAGGGCTTTAATCCCGTCTTTAATTGACTTGCTGAGCATCCACAAGAAAATTTTCCCATCACCTACTGCCCTTCTTTATCTCTTTGTGTGCTGGGACTGGAACTGCTCCATTTCCCTGCAGTCTTCTTTGCTACAACACTTTCATGGTTCAGATATATTAAAGTTATACTCAGTGTGGTTGACTTTTATACGCAAGTTAGAAGTAAAAACGTCTTCACTGTCTCAGAGCAATGGTCTCTCCCCAGCCCAGTGCTGTTATCTCACAGCCGTGCTGGGACCGGTCGCCCAGGCAGCGCCGAGAAGAGGGCAAGCCTGTGAAATACTTTGCTGAGTATTCTCCCACTGTTTTCGGGTTGGGGAATTTTCAGAGTTTAATGCTGTTTTTTGATTTAATAGCCCTTTAGATCTGTCTTACACGTAGGTTTCCAGTCTTCCTTTGCACCAAAGCAGTTTCTGAATCCGTAGCATCCATTGGCAGCGAGTCGCGCTGTACGTGCGAGAACCACCCCTGCGACAGACTTTATTGCACTTCTGAGTCAGGACTGTGTCCGTGTGCATCCAGCAATTCGAACTAGCCATGGCTACTCTAAAGTCAGAATTCTTAGCAGCTATTTCTGCCTTCCTGGGCTCCACCATCTCTGCTCTCCCGCTCAGGTTCAAGTTTTCCCCGTTGCAGACACTTAGTGGAATAGTTTCGTGGTAGCGTGACCCCATTTTTTTCCTGCTGTCCTGTAAGCCTCTTTAATTCCAGAAGAGTTTAATCTGGGGCTCCTGGCAGGACTCATGTGATGGGCTTCTGTAAAAAGTAGTGTGGGAAATGAGCTGAAGTTCTAGAAAGCATAATTATTCCAAGGCCTGGGCTAGTTACTCGGCCTACGTAGTGGTCTTGGGACGGTGACGCTCGCTACAGGTGTGCTGTAGAGTTTGTGGAGGACCTTGATTTCCCTTTGAGCTCCCTGGATGCTGTTTGTTAACGTTTTGCCTGTGGGAGCCTTGAACGTGGCCAGTTTGGTGCGAGCAATCCTGCCAACCGCGTGTACCTGAGGCTGATGGAAACAAAATGTCGTTTACTCCCAGCTGGGAGTAAAGTCAAGAGCGAGTTTGACTTTTCCTGCCTGCTCCGTCCAGATTCGTCGTGCTGCCGCGTGCTGGTGGCAGTGGAGCCGAGTTCCCTGGTAACTTCCCTTACTGTGTCTGTTCAGGTATAAACCCGCGAGTGAAGTCGGGGCGTTTTATGAAAATCCTTCCCGACTACGAGCACATGGAATACAGAGATGTTTACACCTGCCGTACGTACCTCCCGCTGGTTGATGCTTCCCGCACTGAGCACGCACAAGGCGCTGCATGGAGTGTGACGTTGCTTTAAGCAAATTATTTTTGGGGTGGACCTTGGGGCCGTGTGGAAGGTACTGGTTAGTCAGTTCCTTCTGCGGTGTGTTAGTGGGGTGCCGTGTGCCTTTAGAGTGCCAGCGTGAGTAGGGCAGGTGTGAGGTGTGTTGGTCTCCTTTTTTGAAGTGCTTTGACTTAGAAAACTTGTCCTGAGTGGGTGCAGAAAGGAAGGAGGGTCTCCCTTCACTTGCTCTGCTCTGCATGAATTGCTCCTCTCTTAGAAAGAAGTATGCGGATACCCTGCTTTGGGCTCCCCAAAAGCGGGTTGAAATAAGCTCTGGACTGGCGAAAAGCTTTGCCTTGATCCACCACAGCCCTTCCCAGTGAGAAATGCTGACGGTTCCCATCCTAATTCCCTCCCTGCGCAGTGAATCCTTTTAACCATCATCTCCGTCTCTAGGAAACGTTCTGCTCGTGTTCTCGGAGAGCATGAGTTGCCTTCCTTAGTCAAGAAGCTGCTCTGGGTAAACTGCGCTTTCCCTCCTCATGTCGTGTTGAGAGAAGATGGTGCCTTTAATGTGAGTCAAAGCAGCAGCAGTGCTGCAGCAGGGAAAGTTTGAGGCTTGGCAGTCCTGCCTGTCCGCACCAGCCTTGTTCTGGAGCTGGACGGGAAGGAGAGGCACATCCAAGCTGTCCTGGGTGTTTGCTCCAAACGTGCTGGTTTTGGTGGCATTTTTTGCTGTTCCCTCAGTTGTTAATTCTTCAAGCTGCGGCCCCAAACTTCTGATGCCTTATGCCCCTTTTCTCTCGGGGCAAGCTGTATTCCTCGGGGAGCAACTGGCGTAGGTTAGGATGCTGTTGCCCGTTTTCCCCTTCTTTCCCTCCTGGGTATTAAAACCGTGTTGCCAGGATCTACCACGTGAGCACTCCCTAATTCATATTCACGCAGCATTAGCCGAGTCACCTCAGATCGCTTTCCCCAGGGTTTTAAGCTAAGCCTGGCACTGGGACGTAGCTCTTTCCAGCTATCACCAGCTGGAGGGCACTAAGTGCTTACGTTGTTCCAGCTCGTTTTGTTTATAGATACTTTGCTGCATCCTGCGAATCCAAGAGAGATGTAGTGGATCGGGTTTTTTCCATGCAAAGCGAGTTACCTCCACCTGAAAAGGCTGCAGAACATGCTGAAAACTCCCATATTAGGTTTTTGTTGCATTTCTCTGCCTGTGCTCTCCAAGCTGGACACAGGTAACCAAATAAGGTTTGTTTAAAGTTTATTTAAAGGGGGAAATTTGGATAGGTAAGAGGGTTCTTCACGGCTGAGAAGAATAGTCAGTGTGCATAGCAGAGGAAAACCTCGGAGAAAGACCCAAGTGCTGTTTTATTTCGAGGAGCGGGGAGGGAAACAGCTGTCAGATCCGTCCTGTCTCCTGCCAGGGAGAACCAGAGCTGGAATTCATCACGTTTTCCCTGCAATGAATTTAGCTGCTGGCTTGCTGGAGCCCAGAGACACCCCAGGCTTGAAAAAGAAATTATACTTTTGCTTTGAGAATTTTTTTTCACCTTTGGCCAAGTACCAACGTTTTCCCAGGACCTTCCTTTTCTGAAAGAACAGGGGTAGAAGGAGTTGTTTGGGTGTCCTTGCCGTGGGCGTTGCCGTGTAGGGGGGGCAAGGCTGGGCGAAGCGCTGCTCACGCCGCAGCATCTTTCCCATCTGTGGTGCCAAAAAGCTGGGGTTGTAAAAGATTAAAAGACGAGCTGCCCAAGGTTAGAGGTTCAAGCTAAGCGCAGAAGCTGCTCGCCAGTGGGGTTTGTCACCCTCCTTCTTCCTTTGCAGCCCCTGATTTTTGGGTGGTCAGGGCAGGCGGTGAAGCTGGCTCTGTCTGGGGCTCAGCCGTGTTTTCTGAACCATCACAGCTCCTGGAGCAGGCTGTTTGCTCCAAGCAGGCGCGCAAACTGCCCTTGACAGACACGGGCCTTGGAGTGGAAGGGCTTGAGGCACTTCCCCCACTGCTGAGAAGTCCGTCCGTTGTAGCTGCAGCTCTGAGGGTGCTTCACACAGGAACTGAGGGAGGAGGGACACCCTCAGCACTCTTGGATACCTTAGCTTCAAGTTTTCTGACCTAAAAATAAAAGTAAAAAGCAGGGTTTTATCAGGCTCGAAGGCAGGTTGCAGTGGGTGGGGAGGCTGATGCACATATGGTTTATTAATATGTAATTACTGCACCCAGACAACAAGGCTGGGAATGTGGTTTGCTCGCTTGCCTTAGCGCTCTTTGCGCCGCACTCGGTTCACTGAGTGAAACTGGGCCATCAGCCTGAACTTGTTTACTACGCAGCAAAAAGGCTCCTCCAGGCCAGTTGGCAGCAGCTCTGGACAACCCTCTGTGCTGTTCTAAACCTCTGAAGTTCTCTAGTTTGGTGTAATAAAACCACTCCTACAGTTCTTGCTATCTCAAGCAGGTAATGAAACAAAGCTGTTATAACAGCTGCCCTGAAACACGATTCTTCTGATAAATCGATGCAAAGCAGAAACCATTATTCGAGCCAGTCCTGTAGGTTAAAATGAGTTATTGTGGCCTTCTGAGCTGGCCGTGAACGTTGTGGTAAGGCAAGTGTAGTATGTTCTTACCATCCACTATTGAAATAATCTGCACCCTGTTGTTCCTGCCCAAAATGCCAGACTGTGTGTAATGTCTTCACATGAAGGTCACTGGTCACATCAGGAAGTGATAAGGGACAAAATTAAGTCCCGTGTAAGCATTGGAGGCGAGTAGCATCCCTTAAGCTTCCCTCAAAAGAGAGGGGAGTTTGTTAAGATCATCTGTAATAGGCGTTTTCCCCTATTTTATCCTTCATTTTTGATGGGATTGAAAGTTCACCTAGCTCTGAGATGAGAAATGGAGAAGCCTCACCTGCTGCAGTCGGCTTTGAGGGGGACTTTTGGGCACTGCTGAAATGTAGCTGCTTACTTCGAATTTTTAAGGCTGTTTTTGAGCTGGTAACCTCACCAGATTTGAGCTGGCGTGGTCTGTGCGCTTTGCCCGTGCTCTCTCGGTGGCTGTTTTTAAGGACGCTTAACTCTGGAGACAAGTTTGTGTAAACAATGCAGGGAAATTCTTTAAAAATGCTCAAATTTCCCTGTTTCTTACTGCCTTTTTTTTTTTCTGTTGCTTTGCACTCTGAGGCTTCAAGTACATATTTGGTAACGGGATGGCGGGTGCTTTATTACCGCTGGGTGTGTCACATGATTTGCATTTAATGGGACCACGTTGCAAAAACTTTCGGCGAATTCCTGGTGAAGTATCTGCTTGTTTAAAACCTTGGAAATGGCAGCAAAAAAAGAAGTAAAGCTCATGGGAGGCCTCAATTCAGAATTACCTGCCTGTGGGTGGGTATAACCTGTTTTCTCTTCCTCAGTAGAGGCAGTTGTGATGGTATTGGGCAGTGTTGCCTGCAGTCTGGTAGCAATTTTATATTCTTTCCCAAAATCTGAATTCCTTAGCTTGGTGTGTGCTCACTTGAGTGTCTTGCTGTTCCCTAGTGCTGCACCGGTATGGGAGGCCTCAATTCAGAATTACCTGCCTGTGGGTGGGTATAACCTGTTTTCTCTTCCTCAGTAGAGGCAGTTGTGATGGTATTGGGCAGTGTTGCCTGCAGTCTGGTAGCAATTTTATATTCTTTCCCAAAATCTGAATTCCTTAGCTTGGTGTGTGCTCACTTGAGTGTCTTGCTGTTCCCTAGTGCTGCACCGGTACCGACACATCCTGGGGTTGTGGCAGCCGGACATCGGGCCCTACGGGGGACTGCTGAACGTGGTGGTGAGTGAGTACCTCAGACTGTGGCGTTGAGGACTGACAAGACTTTTTTATATGACTTTCTAGACCTGGTTGTCACCTCTGTGCTGTTGAAAAGTCTGAAGGGTCAGCCCTCAAGCAAGTTGATTGGGACCCAGAGGGTCGCTTCTCGAATCTTTTAGTCATCGTCCCCTTTGTCCGGACGATCCTTTTGTTTTTCAGCTGTACTCCAGACAGAAAACATGAGTGATATTTCAAGAAAAGGCCTGATTTAGGGTTTAATGTTAGTATATTTAATGTCACAGGAGTCCATCCCTTGTGCAGCAGAGGTTTTAGCACTGGCCTGTCTCTTGCTGCATTAGTTTTGCCTGCAGCTGAGCGTTTTGCAAAGGGTTTTGCACTTGTGTTTGTGCACTGACCCTTCCTACAGCTCACTGTGCTTTTGCCCAGCTGTGCATCAGCCGTAGTGGTGCAAGACCTGTGGAGTCTTGTGCTGCCAGGGAGAGCAGTTGACGAACGGCATTTGGCTCTGTAATGGTGAGAGCTGGGCCAGAAGTTTGCCTCAAGCCCTTGTCCTTTGCTCCAGGGTTCAATAGCTGACAAGTCGAAGCGTAACAAATGACAGGGCCGTTGGGTTTTGCAAGACTCTGCTCCACAAACTGGTATGAGAGTGCATCCAAGTGCACCAATACTCACATGATATTGTGACCTTATAAAGAGAAGCGTTGCCTCTGTGGCACTGCTCTGCTTTTGTCTTGGATCTCTCTGCTTAGAAAACATCCTTTTTCTGGAATCGCAGGGCTTGAGGGGAAGGTTCCGTTAGGCGTGAAGGAAGAGGGCTGGCACTCTACCTCTCAGCAGAGGAGATTGTTGCTTCTTGTGCTTGTCTGCGAGTAACCCAGCCAAACAATTCCTTGTCCAAAAGGCGAGGATAATAATGAGAAGCAGAATTCGTCTGTTCGAGTATCTGCCAGCGTGAGCTCTCAAACCAATTAGAATTTCACTAGCTGTGTGGTCTCTTCGGCGTAGTCTCTCCCTCTGGATCCCGCGCGCCGAGCATCCGTCACAAAGTCGTTTGCGGTAATAAAGGCCTGATGGTTTTCCAGTGGCGCAGGAAGCCTTATAAAGAAACCCTCTCCCTCTTCGCCGAGGGTGTGCTGTGAACGCATATGGTCTGGTTTAATTGCTGGAAAGCAGTTTGGAAACGCAGCAAGCTGTTCTGCGGCTCCTGCTCTGCTGCACAACAGGCCCCGGAGTTGTTTGCTGCAAACTCAACAGAAAATGCGCGAGGCTGATCTCGTGTGCTTTGTCTCCCCACCCCTCCGCAGGTGGACGGTTTGTTCATCATCGGCTGGATGTACTTGCCACCTCACGACCCGCACGTGGATGATCCGATGAGATTCAAACCTCTCTTCAGGATTCATCTCATGGAGAGGAAAAGCGCAACCGTCGAGTGTATGTATGGCCATAAGGGACCTCATAACGGTCACATCCAGGTGAGCTCCTCCAGCGACGTCTGTGCATGTCGGCTCTGGAAATGTTTTAATGAAAACAAGCAGGACAATTCTATTTAAAGGATGTGGCTTTCGCCACCTTGTCATACGTGTGGATGCCAGCTTTGCGCTCATTATGTGTCTGACAAGTTGTGTGGGCTGTTCCCCTGCTCTGAATTTGTTCTCTGGCAGTAGTACAGGAAGGCTCTTGTACTGTCTTCTCTTGGGCTGGAGCACAGTGGGAGGCTGGGAGCACCAGTGTGTGCACAGCCTGGGGGAAAGGATGTGTAAAATGGCCTTGTCCAGGCAGACACACAGACCTGTTCTGTTTTACAGCTCTTTCTGAGACCTTGAGAAGGTGATGGAGCGTTCATTCAGTGCGTTGGGTGCTTTGAAAAACTTTTTGAAAGGTTGTTTCCTGTTTTTTGAAGAAGGAAGCTCCCATAGAGAAGCAACTTAAAACTAGTAGTTTTCATTAGAATGCCTTGGGGTTATTGCTTTTATTTCTGCATTCTGCAGCTGATGCATTCGCTGTCACGGGATTTGCTACAACAGAGAATTGTAACATTTGTCTAAAGCATTTACTTCAAGCAGCCGTAGTTATATTATCTTAGGCATCTCTAAACAGCTCTGTAACCTTTTAAATTCTCCTCTGTGGTAACTACAGATTGTAAAGAAGGATGAGTTCTCCACCAAGTGCAACCAGACGGATCATCATCGGATGTCAGGGGGAAGGCAAGAGGTGAGATTGCTTTGCTAGGAGCCTGCATTAAGGCTGTTTGTGTTGTCTCCTGTCTGAAGGTAAAGCATTGCCCTCTTACCTAAGCTCTCAGCTAATGTTGGGGTCCAGGAGGTAGTCTTATGCCTTCTTATTTCAGTGTATCTGAACATACGTGAACATCCAGGCTGGTAGCTTCTGGCTGATTTACTGAGTTCTTTTTTTTAAGTGAGTCTTTCAGACAGGCCTAATATTGAATACCAGCTGCATGGGAGTACCTGATTGCCACTGGGGCACCTTTCTGTTCCTTGTTGTCCTGGTTGTGGGATCATTTGGTTGTTTATCCTGAGTCTGTGTCACCTGTATGCAACAAGACAAGTTCCTGACTCAGAACCACATGTTTTAAGGTGTAGGTGTGAGTGTCAGGATGAAAACCTACCTCTGGGTAGCGGTGTTTGCTGCCAGCTAGTTATATGTGACAAATCCAATCCTTCAGTCGCTTCTAACAAAGGCTTTAGAATGGCTGCCTGCTAATGGGAAACAGCTGGGTGAAAGGTTTAGTTAAGTGTTTTCTGGGGCTGTAGCAGACAAGAACTGCTTTAATACTTTCAAAGCAGTGCATTATGTGTGCATGGCATTATGGTAATTGGAGGATCTGGCTTTAGAAGATAAAGGAAGCAGCTTTGGAATATCGCTTGGTAGGCTACTCTGTTAGTGTAAACTGTTATCTCACTAACTCATGGCAGGGTATTAACCTGTCAGAGCTGGTGTAGAGGTACTTCAGGAGTTGTTTTCAAAGCACCCTTTGGATTTAGATGCGTTGGTATTAAATCAGCAGGATTTAACCTCCTAAATCTTCATTGCCTTTCAAAAGCTTCCTCCTTTTATGTTTAACATGCCAGGGTAGGCCACAGGAATTGGCTTATGGGCACGCAAATGAGTTAGTGCAAGGTAAGTCAGGACGTAAATAAGTAGTAGATCCGCTGCTTTGCAGCACCAGGTGATGCTCGTGCTTTTGTTCGGCGGTGGCACGTTAGTTCTACTTGTATTTGAAGGGGAGCAGGTTTAGTGTGTGGCATCTGGTGGGTATAGGACAGTTAACCTTACCGCTGCTAAGCATATTTCCAAGCTGGCTCTGTAGCAACACGTCCTTGTTCCCAAATCCAGGCACAATCTCCTGTCGTTGGCAGAGCATATGCCTTCTCCTCTGTGGCTCTGCCAGTCAGTCGTGCTGACGAGGCGAAGTCACGTTGGGCTGCATCACTGTCACAAGCCAAATGCCTTAATCTTTTCCTGTTTCTCTTCTCCTTGTGCTACAGGAATTCCGGACGTGGCTAAGGGAAGAGTGGGGTCGGACGCTGGAAGACATCTTCCATGAACACATGCAAGAACTCATCTTGATGAAGTTCATCTACACCAGCCAGTATGAGTAAGGGCACCAGCTCCTCCTCGGTGTTCAGGCTGCCGCAGCTTCAAGAAGCACGTTGGATCGTTTGTTCCCCAAGTGGGGTCCTTGCAACAGGCTCCCACGGCCGGAGGAACGCTGTGGCTCTGCAGGCTCTGTGCAAAGACAGGGTGGAGCACAGCGCTTTCCAGATGTGCAGAGAGAGCAGGTGTAACGGTAGCAGTCACAATAAAATTCCAAGGGATTTTGATGAGGGCTATGCCCAGCGAGGTGGGTTTGAGTCCTGTAACTGTTTAAGTTGAAGACAGAGCAAGTGTCTGTGATCCCAAGTTGCTACCAGCTTATTGTCTCTCTTAGTAACCAAGGTGCTTTAGAGTGTGCTAGGCAGAAGTCAGGCAGTCCCCAGGAACTTCAGAGTTTTTTAAACATCACTCCAAACTTCTAACAGCAGCCACCTCACTGCAGCAGATGGTTCAATATGCTTCACTCTGGGGTCCTCTGGAGATCCTAAGGAGTAAGGAGGCTTACGGTGCCCTTGCTGCAGGAGCTTCCTGCTGTGCTAGTGAGGACTGGTGGAGAGAAGTGAAGGGAGGCAGTGCCTGCAGAGGTCTAAAGCGAAATCTTTTAAGCTTGTTGGTATTGCTGGAGACAGAGATTCCCACCTCTCTCTTGATGACATGCCCAAGCTGCCCGAAGGAGCAGTCTGCAGACACATTCCTCATGTTGAGGGATTCTCTCTTAACCTCTCTGACATTTTGTTTTTTCCACAGCAACTGCTTGACATACCGACGCATCTACCTCCCTCCTAGCAGCCCCGATGACCTTATAAAGCCAGGTCTCTTCAAAGGAACTTATGGGAGCCATGGGCTGGAGATTGTCATGTTGAGCTTCCATGGAAAGAAAGCAAAGGGGACTAAAATCACCGTAAGCGAATTTTACTTTCTCTCAGATGCTCGTTAAAGTATTCTCGATGCCGTGGATCCGTAGGAGATGTTTCTGACTGGGAAGTGGTCGGTTGTTGCCACCCCAAACCCTGTTCTTCGTGGGGACTGGCCGCATGGAGTGAATCTTAACACATGCAGGGTAGCCAGGACCTGCTCTGCAGAGTTTCTCGTGATGCCATCTGCCTCCCCCTTCTTTTTTCTCTCTCTTCCAGCTGCTTTCTGTGAGCAGCTGGTAGCAGATCCTTCGCATGTATCTGAGGAGCAGGTACCAAATGTTGGCAGCTCCTCACTGGAGGAGCTTCCTCTCTGCAGGGAGGGATTCTGACAAAATGCAGTTGCAGCTTTTACCTTTGTTCACCCTTGCAAGTACAGC